CACACACACACACACACACACACACACACACACACACACCCACACACACACACACACACACACGACGCGCGCGCGCGCGACCACCACCACACACGACGACGACACACACACACACACACACACACACACACACACACACACACACACACACACACACACACACACACACACACACACACACACACACACACACACACACACACACACACACACACACACACACACTCACATAAACCTTGGAGTAATCATTCTGTCAAAATGATTACTCCACACATGCGCGCGCACTCATACATCCATGGACATACGCACCCGAACGCGCATATACATAACTTCACGATGGTCCAAAATCTTTCTATATTTTTAATTGACAAACGACGAGAGCGAATTTTAGATTCGTTCAATTTGAATACAAAGGGAAATTGTCAATGCGTTAAAATAATTAGGTTTTAAAATTGCTACATAGTTTCATTTCTTTCGTCAGTTTGCTTAATTTTCAATCAAGATAATTATATATGCGAAAATATTTGGTATAATTAACCGAAAACAATCCATTCTGGCTAATCAAGGCGGTTAACGGAATAAGTTGAATTACTCACACATAATTTATTTAGGTGATTAAATAATTATAATTTCTGTGACGCATTTCTCGCATCATTTCGCCCCACTAAACTGTAATTTATCTAGACTTCCTAATTCAATTATAATTAAAAGCGTATTAAGAGTGTAAGAGAAGGTTACAAAAAGTACATTTTTACTGAAAGACAATACCCGGCTTTTAATCAATTTAAGTAAATGTATTAGGTATATAGACAATCATTCGGCGGCATTCATTCGCTCTTGAAATGTTACAAATAAATGTTATAAATGTAATGTGTTTGCGGAGCGAAACCTGATCTGGCGGCCTCGGGCTAATTACATACTTGACAGCTGCTCGGCAGCAATGTAGGGTAAGAGGACGACTGAAGCTTTATCAAGTACTTGCTTATGTCGTCACAACCCCGTAAGAGATGCGACGTGATTGCATTTCTAATTATTGTCTGTTATCAACCACTGTGGTTCATACGCCCTGTAGAACTGACATGTTGACGCACGGGGAGGCAATGCTATTAGACGCACCTTCTTGCTTTTAGCCATGTTTCCAAGAGTCTCGAAGATGTTATTGGACTGCCATGGTGGTAATAGGCCTATCTTTGTAATAGGTCAACAGCACATAAAGATCGGCGCTGCTACATGCGTTTCTCGACATCCAGCATCATTAATATATCAAATTATAGACGTTGAGTGCACGTAATAAATAATAACCCCTGTAAGAAAGGATTTGATGGCGATGCAGCTGACGCTGTTGCAATTTAGGGGGAAAATAACAGGCGATCTCTTCTCTTCGCAGTTTACCTAGTTATCGGGGATACGCATGAATATATCGGATTGCTGACGTACATGGAAGAAAGGGGTCTCTTCGACAACGGTGACTACTTTGTAGTTGGACTTCACGTGGACGAGATTTACAAGCATAAAGAAGCGGAAAACTACATTAAAGGTAGGCCGTAACTCAATGTGGGACGTCTTCACAGAATAGCTGACGCAAGCTTGCCACGCCTAACCGACAGTCTGCTTCAGCAGTAAATGGACAGATGTTTATTGTGCACTTTTGAAAAACAATTACATACAGTCAAAATATATTATTGATTTTTAAATGATATCTATATTTCTCTAGGTGTGTTGGAACCTTTCGTGCAGGAAGCGACTGTAAGAGCGTACAGGTCCTACATTGGTATCATAGGGGCACCGCCGGTTAACCCTGCTTATAACAAGTTCACTGCTGCTGTAAACCAATACCTGGAAGCACCGCCGTTCAATTTCGTTAATCCTCTAAAATTATTTGGATTAAAAAGGCAGAAGATAGTAAGTATACGCACTCACTAAATGGTTTCGATTGAAGCGTTTATATCGAAAATAGTAACGCGTTAAAAATCGTTCGTAATTCTGTATAAAGTGTAAACTTCCGATATAGGTGTCAAATACCGAATACCTATTTTTCACTGCATCTGATTCCTAGAGCTATTTATTGTGCTAAAATAAATCCATGTGTAGGGGCGGTGCGCAGGTTATTTGTGTTACAGGCATATTGATTGATAAATGTAGGCTATAATAGCTATTTAAAACACGTGGGAGTTGCAATCAAGTCAACAGCACAACGTTTATACAAACGATAGCAAGAGTGAAGTCACGCATCGGTACTAGACGTGGCGGACGGTCGTTAGCTTCGCGCCTCAATGGCGACAGTTATCGCTACTTTCCAGAAGCTGACAAAAGACCCTCAACATTTTGAAAAATAGTATCACAAATCATCGTCGACAATGCTTCGGTTGACGCTAAGGGTAGTCGCTTGAGGTATTCGAGTCTCGTTAATAGCACAAAATCCTTTTGCGCCGAGAATTTTCGCTGTCAAAATGCCACGATAAATTACATTCCGTGACGTCATATGGAATGAGAAGCCCATTACGGTTGGCGACAGTCGTTGCGACTGTCTCCTACACCCACGCCCTGTACTCGCTACATAAATCAATACTCTCCGCTCGTAACCACTATCTGAGTGGTTCATTGATGGTGCCTGTTTCCCGACGACACAACAACGACCAGTGGGCCACCACCGAGGGCGTTATATGGTGGATTTATTAGACGTAATAACTCTACTATGAAAATAGCCAGTTGAGGCCCAATTCACTTGCATGCACTTTACTTTATCAGCGCGGTGAGTGTTTAACCGTATTATTACGGAAGCAGAATACAACATTTAGGCCCGGCTGAGCACGCATGTGTCGCAATCTTCATTTGCGCGTTTGCATCTTCCTCAGATACGACCTGAAGCGGCATATCTCTACGACGCCGTCTACCTGTACGCCAGAGCTGTGCATGCAGCTAAAATGAGGGGAGAAGATCCGAGAGATGGGAGAAATCTCTTAAAACACATAGCCGGAACGTCATATCAAAGTACGTGCATTTGTTACGATAGACACTAGCCATGTTGTGCATTATAGCTGGGCAAATTCTGGGTGAAATTTGAATCATGGATTAGTAGAATATCTATATGATATTTCGATAAAACACATTAGTGTATATATATATATATATATATATATATATATATATATATATATATTATAGAAGAAACTAAGAAATGCAGCATAAAAAATAAAAAGTAAAAAAATAATACCGTACAATATAAAATATAACATGTAAATATATTTATGTAAACGGATACATTTTTAGGGATTAGTGGATTCATGTCTTGATAGGGTAGAAGTAAGTCGAATTCTAGACATATATCTCAATGCTGAAATTAAGTCACAGACATTTTCAACTGACTATATCAATTCGATTATTTATTCACTTCGTAATGTCGTATATTGTGTGCGTCTAACCGATAGGTGTGACGGGCTACCTGGTTCACATGGATGAGCATGCCGATGCTCAAGGTAACTTTACGCTGATGGCTCTGAAAATGATAGACGCTGAGCCAACGCGGTACGGACTCGTGCCGGTTGGAAGCTATGCGCAGGCAGCGGTCAGCGAGAGTGACACGACGCAACGACAAGAACACGTGAGTCTCGCCGCGGGTCTTCTTAGTTACCACGTGATCCGGAAATATGTGTGGTATCCGGAATTTCCGCTTTTAAGACCCTGTACTGATAGGCTGTGTGTCTGTCCCTATTGCATAAAAATGTTCGACGGTGCAGCTTACTCACGGGAACTGCCCACCTGTCCTCGCGTTTTCGTGATGTCATAATACTGTCACCCTGAGTGTATATAATCTGGCGTTTAAAAAAAGATCGATACTGGATTCACGAACCTTTTTAATACGATACATTAGACAATTTTGACAGCATAACGAAAAAGGAAACTCACGTTCTCGCACGTTCTATTTTCCTTAGAGATTGGACCTCTTCACATCGATCGATTGGGTGCAAGGCATACCTCCGACTTCAGAACCTCTCGGCGGTTTCCCTCACACAGACTGCTTTAATGAGAATCTCATTGACGACTCGAAGCGCCATCTGTGAGGCAAAACAACGTCCCAGAACATCTGCCTACTTACTTCAATGTCTAAAGGCTCGGATATTTCGCGTTAACTAAACGATGTCGTATATGGATTTGAAATTGATAACTGTTGGGATAAAACGTGCAGGAGCAGGACTTATATATATGCGTATATGTTGCGGCTCTATGCTTGAAGTAAATACTATTACCTCCGATGTTATATGCTGAGCCCTGTTCAAATTTCGCTGTTTATATATTTTTTCGCGATTTTATCGCTTGTTGAATAGATTTGCTATGTGTGAACGAAACAAGGTCAACCTGATCGTCACTTTAAACGATTTGTCTTTGCTTCGCTATGTAGTGCGCGTCCGATATCTGATACAATCGTACATAACTCCCAAACCGTGTTTATGTTGTAAATACAGATATATTTATTTATTTATTTATTAAATTTTTAGCATTCCGTGAACATGTTTTCTTTTATGCTAATATAGACTAGACTTGTTAGAAATTAGGGATAACGTACATTGTATAAGTTGAAGAGTAAGCATGAATGTGGCGTCCGCGTGTTAGATGCTGGCGAGATAGATGTTTAAGTGGAAGTAATCATGCTAGCTTCAGCATTCGTGTATCGGGGTGTCACATCACAAAAGCATGGCAGCAACGTACCAGCTAGTAGAAAAGGTGACTGACTCGATAAAGGTTTCCGCGTGACTTAGAATAACAATGTTTGTTGACTCTTATTCATTATAATTAATCGTTAGTTTTTCTCATTTCGTAACGAGCTCTGCTCAAATTTGTTGACGCTAAATATCGCCGCTCGGAGCGCTATAGGTAGTCATAGTAAATCGAGGTTCGCGAGCCGACGCAAAAACAGAATGGAAGTTCATCCTCATGGCGGAAAGAGATAACGGTAGAAGAGCAGGTATATGGATGCGTGGCTTAAATGTGTTACAAACTATATTACGAATTCCGCCAAAGCAGTGCTGAATGTTTGCGAAGGTTGCATATTAAAGTACACATGCCAACATAAGCAACTGTTTCGCTTGGTATCGTAATAAGGCACATCGCTGAATTACTTCATAGACGATCTTATCCACCAACAAAGGAACTGGACGGAACTCGTATTAAATTTGCATGATAGCATAGTGCTATATTACAGAATTGTGTCTTGCTAATAAAGCTTTAACTGAACGAAAACATGCATCGTCTTGACTTTTGCAATATTGGAAATGAATTGGTAATTATGTATCAATAATACACGCGTACTACGCGCTTAGAGGCGTGTCAGGAGAGCATATAGTACATGTGTTGTACGCGATTGAGTGTCTGTCTAATTATAATATGTTTTGCTGGTGTGTAAATAACGCGGCGATATACACTGATATAACACACACAGCGTGAAATGTTTTTCACGTCTGACCTTAAATAATGATCTTGACATATATATCTTTAGCTTTTATGATTTCAAAATAACTAACCCGCCGCCGAGTGTACACCGATCTGTAGCCACTAATCACGTTTTCGTCATTTGTTACGAACTGCACATGTGCGCCCCGACGGCAACGATACGCCTCTATGTGATAAATCGTCCTGCACATTAATATAACATTCAGCACTTCTGTTCTTTTCCAAAGCGGTAGCAGATATCCTTGCTTGCGGTTGGCCGCTAGTGCGTAGTTCTCTCCGTGTGCCCGTTAGGTGTGCGAATACTCAATTGGCCACTGGAACCACTTATCTTTCCGAGACATTCCCGCGCAGCGAGTAGCTGAGGCGTGCAGTGCGTTAATGAGCACTACTGTTCCCCGTCAACGTACGTGTTCCTGCACGAGTTTCATCGCCAGCCCGGACCACAGGATCGCCGATGACAGGAACGTGTCGAAATTAGGTGCATTATTTCAGACGAGCGTCGCTATATATAAGGTAGGTAAATACAAACTTTGCCCGTATATCGAGGCACGTACGCATACTGTGTCTGTGCGCACGCGTTGCACTTGCTATAGTTCCCGCGCCTAGTAGGGCCATAACAATCATACATGGACGCATTGATCCACCCGCCATACGACGATGCATTACCACGTTGCGAAGGTGGCATATCGCGCGCAATTGCGTTGACAATAATGCGCAATGCAAAGTTGCACATCGTATTCGCGGCAGCGCATACAATTACGTTAACACTGAAACTTCACAGCTGTTTTTTACACTTGTAAAGTTAAAACTATGAATGCAAACATACCGTCGAAGTGTCGCTAATACAATGCGACTTTGCGTCCTACAACTGCGAATTTCGCAATATGGTAATGCCACGTTGTATACCGGAAGCACGCTTCCACATGGTGCATATATCATATGCAGCCGTCCGAGCAGAAGGCACTATCATAAAATATACATAGAACCCCAATGACGATGTTGCTCATGTTGATTATCAAATGTCTTAATGATGCTTTATCATTTCTCTCTGACAATAATAAGACTGCTACTGCATATATATATATATATATATATAT